AAAGCTAGCTGAGAAAGCCGCGGCCGCACTTCCCGGTATAATAGGGAGTGTTGTTTCCTGGCTATTGAATTTATTAGCTAAGACCACCACTTGGCTTAGTCAAAACTTGTGGGGGTTGATCGTAGCAATTGCAGGGCTGTTGTACGTGTTCGCTAAGAACTATTTAACCACCAAATCAGTTCGCTAACCAAATCATGAGTAAGCCAACCGAGACTCCACCCACTACGAGCGCTGTTTTTTCATCGATATGTTGTTGATTTTTAGACTCAATATGCGGTGGCACTTGTGCATTAGTAGATGGTTGATCGATAAAAGATGGTTGAGCGATAGTTGGTGTTTGTGGCTTGACTATTCCCTTTTCGCCCGTGATCGTTTGCGTTATTAATTCGACGTTAATATCTGAATTTATACCTGTTTTTTGTTGATCGGTAGCAATAACAATTTTATTATTATAGCCTATCACTTGACCGATCTTAAGTTCCATATTACTCGGAGACATGTATAGTCCCGGCGCATAAACGAAGTCCACTTTGGATTGAGCGTACTGTAATGCATCTTGAAAACGCTTTATAGACGATGGTATGTCAACTGGTGAATTAATGGCGTCCTCCACGTTTGTGACAAACTGTTTTTGTGCATCGAGCGCCGTCCCAGTACCGATAATGGACGTTCGTGTTTGCGATTGTGCACCGAGAATTGCCCATACATAAGTTCTTATCGATTCATTAAATCTTACAAATCCTGGGTTAGTAAAATTATTTTCCGTTTTATCATTAAGAAATTCATTCCAAGCGTTTGCGGTATCGTTCATTTGTATAAATTTTGTAACAATATAAATTAAACCACTCTTAAAACTCATAATATCCCCTCTCCAATCGTTACTCGAAAGTTCCCAGTCTTTATACCAATGATGAGTTTTTAGAAAATAATCATACATTCTTATGTAAAGTTTGCTGGTATGCAACAACTTAAACGCATTAAATGGACCTTTGTTAACTTCTTTAAATAAATCATCGCTTTCTTCTTTGACGGTTATTTCCCCTGTGTAAGGAACACCTAGACCATGGTTTGCTCCTTTAATACGCCAATCTTTACTCGTAGAAACATTAAATTCCTGACAAATACGCTCATACGCGGACCTATTGTACGGATTATTTGTGGAATTCCACGCTCCATCCTGCGGTAATAGAGCACTAATTTCTTTAAGTATACGTCTAATCTGATAATACACGTGAAATAATAAAACAGACTTATTTAGCATAAATCCTGGGGCATTAACAGATACGCCACATCCCGTTGTGGCACACCATACGGCAAAGTTTAACTGATTCTGCCAAAATTGCATCGGATTGTGAAACCAATCGTGCACCATTTTATCGCTAGTTGCCGTGACCCTGTACTTTTCAAAGATATCGGGGAATTTAACGAAAAATTCAGCACCAGAGGCAGTTACTATAATCGATTGATTAGTAATGTATCTCGATTTCATATTTAAGTTATGATATAGTATCATTGTATATTTAATATGTATGTTACACTCCCGGGAATAACAAATGGTCAGTCTATTGAACTGCTTCATACTATCGATAACTCGGATGGACAACTCGAAGTCGCCCTATGCGATGTAACGTATTACCCACGGTGGACCAATATAAGTGCTGCGAGAAGAAATAATAGTATAGATATAATAGGTGAAAACAATGGTATTGAAAAATTCATTACTATACCTGATGGGTATTACAGCGTATGCTCACTCAATGATGAAATTTTTAAGCCTAATGGAGCTAGTCTAACACAAAATGAGTCGAATGGGATAGTGAAAGTCGACTCTGGAGAAAACGTTGTAGTTCTTAGGCCATACTTAGAAGTTACACTTGGATTTCATTATAGAGTAGGAATTATAAATTCTAACAAACCACGACAGGGAATTAAATTACCCGATTTAGTTCCCTATAAAGAGTTGTTCATACATCTTGATCAAATAAGCACGACGGATAATATTCAACTAGAAAGTCCTTCAACTCTACTCAGAAGTGTTCCAGTGAAAAATGAAAAATATAATAGCGGTAGAACGGAATCATTCTCGTTATTACAATATAAAAAATTGAAGCGGGGTATTATTTCAGACCTTAAAATTTCTATATTAGATGTAAAACATCAACCTGTACATATAGGATACTTAAGTGTAACACTCCATATTATATAATGGTTGATGCATCAGGCCCTGGAACAGTAAGACAATGTAATACAATTGCGCTTTCCGATCTCGGAGACACAGAAGGATTTGATAAACCCGGTTACAATGGTAAGTTATACGCTTTACACTTACACGATAATGTATACAAGCGGAAAGAAGTCACATTCACGGGTAATCTAGGAGATTTAAGCGATGTTGATGTTAGTAGACTCCTTAAAAACACTTCGTACAATATTACTCACAACGACGATAATAAATGGACTATGGTTGAAGCAAACATCGAGTGGCTACTGAATATCGTCATTACCCCACCTTATGTGATGATGGGTAAGGGACATAATTTAACTAAGATAATAAATAGTGGCATCGTACTCGCGGCTTATATCCCATCAAAACGAAAAAGTGTGTTAGTTACCCCCCTGCCAGAAAACCCAGGTCATATGATATATAGTCGTCCGGCCTTAAAAAATGTTACTTTAAATTTGGTTACTGAATTCGAAGATATTAAAGATAACTTGAGTGCAATACCTAATCTTTCTACGCTTATTATTGAAGTCTTGTTCGGAGATGTACCGGTAGATGCCTTCGAAATATTACCAGGTCTATCGATTAAATGGTTCAAGAATCACGAGCGTCAACGTTGCAGTATTATTCATATCGGAGCATCGCCCGTTGCAACCCTCGAGGGGGTCCAAATTATTAAAAGTGACAGTATTTCTCTTACTAAGATATTCTTGCCGTATAATATACATTTGATAAGGTTGATGTATAGTCTCAAAACATTTAAGCAAGACCAATTAAAGACTATTATATGATCGTTATATACACTATGAGTTTATATCCGACGCTCGGTGAAGCATTTGAAAAGATGGATACCGTTGATGGATTTCGATTACATCAAATAAGCGACATAAAACATCGAATAGGGAAGGAGAGGGAGTTGAGACTTGGATTGTATAAAAAGTATCGCAGAGCCGTGAATGCTCTGGACGGAGTTCACACCGCTCTTGTAGTATCTGGCATGGGACTCGGTGTAGCGGGTATCGGTTTACTATCAACTATAATCGCCGCGCCTATCGTGCTCGGCATGGAAATAACCGCTGGAGTCTCGGGACTGGCAGGAATAGCGATAAAATTCATTTCTCGTAGGTTACAAAAGAAAGCATTAAAACACGATAGTATTCGGATACTCACCGAAGCAAAGTTGAACAGCATTGAGGATCATATTTCGACAGCAATGGCTGATTGTAAGATATCCGAGGATGAGTTTCGTTTAGTGCTGTCGGAGCTTAACAAATACAATAAAATGAAGCAGGAGATTCGATCAAAATCTCGTAAGACCAGTGGTATTAGCGAAGACGAGAAAAAAAAGTTCATAGAAGAGGGGAGGCAACAAGCTCGTCAATTATTCCGTGCCAAAACCAAAGAACTGGTTGGAGATTAAAAATAGATTGCTTACTATCGTGTGATTACATTTAGACAAATGCTAACATAAATATATAATAATGGAGAAAGCTATTCAATGGAAAGAATTACCACAAGGTTTTTATTATATCAGTGATGTCAAACCAACCAAATACGGTTATCAATTGTTTCTTATCAATTTACAAAAAGAGTGTAGTTATATAGTCTGGTCTCCTAGTAAAATGAACGAAGAACTTAATAAAAATGTTGAATATCGCTTTATCGATAAAAATAATAAAGAATATTTTTATTACCATTTAGACTCATCTAAAGCAATGATTGGCCCCAGGTATTGGTAGTGGTCCAGAACCATCATAACCTATAAAAATTTATATCATTGACTCCACCTAGAGCCAATTTAACTTAATCTTATGACTATCATTAAATCGCATCATCATTTTGGCATAAAAAATTCCATCTGTAGTAGCAGTATAGGTATATGAATCCTGCTCCAGTGGAGTTGCGGCAGAACCCCCATTACCTATACTACTATTTTCATTCTCAGCTCCCTGGGGAATATACAAAGCAAGCTGCCTGTGAGGCGCTAGAAGGTTAACAGCCACATTACCATCTCATCCTACCGGGTATTTATGAAGTGACAATGACAATAGACTACACATAATCAATGATAATGTCTCCTACAAATGCGTACATATATGAACGAAATTGATGAAAGCATCAATCAAAACAGCTATGTTAAATGTAGTTAATACTTGCCATTTTGACTTTATGTTCAAACTCATATTGTGACAAAGTCAACAATATTACAGTCTATTTTTCTATTGTTAGACATGTTTGAGAGGTATTCCACTTTGTAGCTGGTGTTTGCTTCTGAGAAGGCTGATCATTACCAATTTCTTCAAACCACAAGAACTGTTAAGAACTTTCATTAACATGCTTGTCAAAGATACGATAACTTTCATCTTCAGTCTTAGACGGATTGCCTTGTTAAATATAGGATAAATGTGTACAGCTTGCTGACAAACAAAAAATGAAATCCACATAATCAGAGCCACATTTCATGATGGTTCATTTTAACATGGGAATACAGAATCACTATTCCTCGCAACAAATGTCAAAAACATTTGTACAACAAAAACCTCAAATATTAGTATTATTACTTTCTTTTTTATAAAAGTTACTTATGACCTGGTAACTTTCTGTTGGGATTGGCTATTCTCTTAGAACTAAATCTGTTCTGATAGAAAATTCTAAATTTCCAAGATTTTAAAATATACACTTATCACATTGTATATTGTATGTTTCTATTTTGTGAAATGGTCATTACAACCATAGTATCTAAATAAAGACTGAATATCTAGATCTATTGTGCTCTTACTTCTCTTTCGAGTTTGATTTTCCTTCCCCTCATTTCCCTCTGTGTTGTCTCCTTCTTGGCCATTCTCCATTGGTGTTTGTGATGTTCCATCCTGCTGAGGTGGGTTGTTTGGCTTCTGGACTAACTTGGGTAGCACCATTCGACGATCCTTGTGGGATCGGGCATATGTCATCTTGAAATTATCATGGCGGATCTTGTGTTCCAAATATGCTTGAATATTGGTGAAAACCTTTTTGCATTTCTTACAGTAATGAATGTCTTCATCACTGTCATTGTCAGTTTCAGCTCCTACAACAAAAATGCAAAATAAATAAAATAAGAAAACATGATTAAAGAACTTCTGACTAAAACAATCACTTATAGATTTCTCCATGGATGTTTGAAGGGAAACAACACTCTAACTCTCAGTTGTCTAGCTGGCATCATTTTAAGCACCAGATTATCACCAATTAGCATCACCGACCCAACAAACTGGGCTTCGGACCACATCATTGATATCTCCATTGATGTTTAAGTATGTTTTATACAAGCATTCTTTATTTCTCACACTGGAATCCATGCTCTTTAAAAAAATGTAGCAGTAATAAAATATATCCAGCTTTAATTATTGGTTTTGTTCTAGAAGTTGACATGAAACCCTGAGAAAAAATAAACAACGAGATCATGATATAAAAGCTGTGGACCATATAAACACTATAGGCCCATAAATTTTCTAGATCTAAACACTTTATGATACATTTTTTACATCGGAATTAATGCTCTCCTTAGTGTTGTAAGAATTAATTTAGAGTGGTATTTTCCAGGAGTAAAAACAATGTAGATCTATAGTCATGTAAATTATTTCATCAACGATGAAATAACAAACAATAATGGTCAATACACTACTAAAACAATACTTCTCCAAGTCATGAAACCACCCACTATCAGTGGGCTACAACCTCCAGGCCTGAGGAGGGATAGTCAAATCAACCATACGACAGTCTAACCTATATTCGCTAACCAATATATTTCATGTTGTAAGAATATACATTCTTCTATTTTTTCAAATAGGTTTACCATATAGTATTATAATCGTGGTTGATGAAATGTTGTTTTTTGTGAGCAAATTACCCTAAAATATCTCCACATGTTACATCTTGATGTGAGCACCAGCTGAGCACAAGGCTCAAACGACGAAGCTCGGCTTCGCCGGAGTTCTTTTCAAAATGGAAATTAGGACAATGCTGAATTGGTTGTATTTTAGCGTTTACTGGTATGACTGAAGTATGTAGGTCCTAATCAGGAGCTGACAAGAAGAAATTAAAGAAATATTACAAGTTTCGTCTGCTACAAACAAACCTTCTATCAGGCTTGCAGCTAAACTGTCGTTTGTAGGCTTGTCGCTCTCGTTCATGGCGGCGTTTTGCGACAACCAGCAAGGAGACTGAAAGGCTTCGGGTAACTCCGGCAGTGTTCGTGAACAAGCGCACTTGAAGGGACCGTATAAGACCACAAATGGTTGATTTACTACAGGCCATTCGTTTAAGACCGGAACAACTTCAGGTTTATTGCATTTAGCGACGTTTCGATGTATATTCTTACACCGTTATCAAGCTGGAGTGAAGAAACGGTGAGAGAATCTACATCTAAACGTCGCTAAATGCAAAAAAACAGAAGTTGTATGTTTTCTTATTTACTCCTAGAATGCCAATCAAACGTTTAAGGCAGGGAAATCATTGTTTAAAAACAAGTTTTAAAACTAGCCGATTACGTCGAACTGCCAAAATTGTTTATTTCATATAAAATAAACTAGAAACGGATTCCATTCCATTGCAAATCAGTCAGGATGTTAACGACAATATGACTAATTAAGCTGATTAGTGTATTGTAGTCACTGAGCTGTTGCCAGGGATTAAACGTCATCATCACATTGCTGGCGTGATCAATCTTGAGTGTTAGGAACTTAGGAGTCTCGACAAATAACTTGTAGGTAGGCGTAACAATCACTTGTTTTGCACTGTTTGGTTTACGGGTATTTTTTTCAAAATAAAATTTTTACGTCGCTGTTATTAAATAACTGTAGGTTGGGAGGTTTAAGTTAATTTACTCCATACGACCGTAACGCCAATTATTTAACTTATTTTAACAATCGCAGCGCTAAGATCGCGTTGTTGAACGAGCCCAGGTTCGTAGTCAGTAGTCTAGACTATATGGACATTCGGTACCCGGGTTGTCTATAAGTTTGAGGAACTGTGTTTTCCCTGTAAAATATACAGTTGAAACACGGCATGTCGTTTGACTTTGACCTCGGACGTAGACACTATCGTCGTAGAATATGAACCAACGCTGTGCGCATTGCCTTTCTGGAAATATGGCTCGGCGAGGTAGCCATGTGGTTAAAACGTTCGTTCGTCTCGCCAAAGGCCCGGGATTGATTCCCAATGTGTCCCATTTCTGTCGAGATAGCCTTGTGGTTAAAACGTTCGTTTTACTGTCCGTGATATTGTGGGCATATTGATAAAGCGTAAAACCATACTCACTTACTAACTAAAACTGGAAATATAAACACACAATACCATTTAGAAAGGTGTCAAATGTAACAAGAGTTATAAATGGGATAACACTTTCTTAGTAAAGTACATATGCTCGTACTTTTTTGGGTTGAGTCCCGTCCGGGATTCGAACTCTGGAAATATGGTTGTGTATTTGACGCTCTGTCATAACGATAGTTTTGACACAATTCTTGCCGAAAAGCATCCGTGTAAGGTTGACTAAGAGAACAAAATATCTTTTTCAGTGTGATTGAACGGGTCAGTGGAAAGAAGTGCATTGAACAAGGGGAGATAATCTCAATATTACCATAAACAATTATGAGACGACCCCGATAACAATAGTTGGAGCGCAACTGTCCAAAATGGCGAACGAAGTTGCTCACGCTCCCAATAAAACCTGGGAATTGAGCTTATATGAACTGCACAGGACGCCCCAGGAGGCAATTACCGACAACACAGAAATCGCCGTTTCCCCTAGAAGCTTACACAGTGAACTTATGTGTCCAATATGTCTGGATATGTTGAAAACGACGATGACAACCAAAGAGTGTTTACATCGTTTCTGCCAAGACTGCATCATAACAGCTTTAAGAAGTGGAAATAAAGAATGCCCAACTTGTCGTAAGAAGCTTGTTTCCAAACGTTCTCTGCGTCCAGATCCGAATTTTGATGCACTAATTTCCAAAATCTACCCAAGCAGGGATGAGTACGAGGCCCATCAAGAGCGAGTGTTGGCCAAGTTGAATAAAACGCACAGCACTGCAGCATTGACGAGCAGCATTGAGGAAGGTTTACGCCAACAAGCAATGAACAGGGCCCAGAGAGTCCGAAAACATGCATCCGAGGGCGATTTGAGTCGTCAGTTAGATGGGGCTAGTACACCAACATGTGGAACAACATCAAATGAGACGACACCAAGAAAGAAAGTGAAGACCTATTCCGATGAGTCAAGTTGTGAGAATTCATTGAGTGAACCACCCCTTGGTATTGGTTTGGGCAATCTGGGCATAGACACTGCAGAGACGGGGAGTATTGGCAGTGTGTCAGAACAAGGCCAACCCAGCCCTGATATGATAGTGCCGGAACCCAGTGTTAGCGATATCGAACTTGTGTTTAAACCACATCCTCAAGATGTAGATGGAGATATGGATATTGCCGAGCACACCAGATACATCAAAACTACTGCCAATGCCACTGGTATGGTTATGAAAACGGGCTTTCTTTTAAGATTAAGATTAGTCTCGAGAAAAGCCTAACATAAAATTGTTACCGTATTCGTATACCGCCCGCTCTAATAAGTGCCCACAGCGATATTTACTAATATATTGGCTAGTGATCCCAATTAGCACCTCTTCCGATTGATCAATGTACTCAAGACTTACTTATTCGTGTGAAATTCGCACTCATGTGTCCTATGCACCCTTAATTAAGGGGGGGGGCGGTCGGGTAGCCTAGTGGTTAAAGCGTTCGCTCGTTACGCCGAAGACCCGGGTTCGAATCCCGACATGGGTACAATGTGTGAAGCCCATTTCTGGTGTCCCCCGCCGTGATATTGCTGGAATATTGCTAAAAGCGGCGTAAAACCAAACTCACTCACTCACTTAATTATGGGCAGTTAGATTCTGGAAAATATATCTGTCCCGTATAATACGCACAGACTTTTCTATTGTATCATTTCAGGCTGTCAGCGTAAACCACAAAATTTACGATCTTTCAACTCTGTTTTTTTCTCACCAAAATTATGTTCTAATAAGAGCCCCCTCTTTCTAATTTTGAGAGCACCCTGGGCGCTTATTACGTCGAATATGGTATGTTAATATGAAATGTATTTGAATTTGTTTGAAATTGCTGTTTATTTTGCACAACTGACACAGCCGTAGAATCTTCAGAACTTTTGTTAGTTTCAAATTCAATCAAGATCTGGTCCCACTTACAAAAGTAACTCTGTGTTAAAGTATAAGAGTGTCAATCATCTGAGCACCAAGACAGCTTCGCACAGCTGGATCCTGATCTGATAATGCCTATGAATAGGGCACTCACAACATGCACAAAACTGTTAAATAATTGTTACCTTGTGATAAGCTTTAAACATGATCAGAGTGGTCTATAGTTTGGCAATATTTCATTTCAGAATGAACATTTGTTAGGATATACAAGATGACTTTTGTGATCATATAATTAATAGGATCAATACTACTACCAGGGTTAGATTTGAACCTCAGCAACACATGCTTGTCAACAGTGGTGACAAACAGGATCGTGTTGTCAGGCTTGCTGACTTGGTTAATGCATGTCATCATATCCCAATTGCTTAGCTCAACAACAAAGTAATGACACACAGACATATTTCACAGTGTACTTTTACCCTACATTTATTGCAAATGTGTTTGTTTATAAACTAAACATGCCAAATGTATTTTCTGTTACAGTTGATCATTTGTCCAAGTATCTTGCTATCCGTCTGTCTCTAGAAGCTCAGAATGCAGAAAATGGTAAGTCTCATATTTACACCACTTGAACATATTAACCTGTAAGCAGTTTTCAGAATAGACCATGAAAGACAGGGTGTTCTTTGCAAGTGTGCAAAATTTAAGACTTGGTCATGTTATTGTCCAGACATGCAAAATGTGATTTTTATGAAGACAATAAGATAGATATATGGGTGACAATGTATTCATTTGTTTCACTGCTTTACAGCAATATTTTGGTGTAGAGTCTCATACCTTGACCAGCGTAAGCCAGCCTTTTGTACTCTTTACTGACCTTAAATCTGAACATGCTGAATCGGGTAACATTTTCTGAAAGAAAATTCACCATGACAAATATGACCATAAAACATTCATCTTGGCCATGCCAGAACATGTATTTTTACAAGAGTGTCAAAGGCTGATACATCACTGTGTCTCAATAATTATCAATCCCGAGGCTCCTAAAACAAGTTTAATAAATCTATAGTTTCAGTTTTCTTTTTTCAGGTCCTGCAGAAGAAAAGCAGTACGCCATATACATCGCAATATCCCCCGGAAACTTTGCTGTCCTCAGTGGCTGTATGACACTGGAGCAGGTCAATGAAAAGTACTGGCGTGTGAATCGGCCCTTAGAGATGTTTTATCTGCAGCAGCGAAAAGGGGCTGAAAATTCCATGAAGAAGAACGGAGAGAAATGAAAGACTCATGTTTATGAAACGATTTGTCATGTTGAGTACATGTAAAGAGCATTATCATTTTCATCACTATTCACACTGTCTAATGATGAAGTGTACTATAAGTTTGTAATCATCACATGCTATCGATCAATTTGCAGAGCCACTTTAGAGCCGTATTAGAGCCGTATTTGTTGATAATTCAAGTCCATGGTTCCCTGTTATAGTTTGGCGCATTGGTGGCCCAGTCGTCAAATGGCTGTGATTCGCTGTGCAGAGTCCCGCCCTTGGGCATGCTAGAAACCTGTGATTGTGGGTTCGTATCCAGGTTCGCCCCGATTATGTTCTAGGTTTGTCTGCACCATGCCTGTGCTTGTGGGTTTGCCCAAGGTTGTAAATGTCTGGCACCTGCATCACTTGGGGCGTTCCTCCCACATTAAGCTAACATGCCTAGATTTTACTGGAATCCTGTTAAAAGCTGTGTTAAATCCAACTCACTCACTCACTGTTACATTTAAATACAGACGCAGACTCAGACACAGGTGTGATACTAAATCCACTCGCACAACATACCTTCGTACTAACACTGTGTATTTCCATACATTCATGTGCACAGATGTACAGTACTCGAGCAGTATGATCAAATCTCTGTGCAAGAGGACCAGAAGTTGAGGCAGCACGCTCTGTGAAATTGTCTTGATTTACAGTTTTCATGTCTGTTTATTAGATGAGGCACTCAATATCACAATACCCCCTTGATAAAGAAGCCGTATCAGGCCTGAGTTTCATATTGTTTTGTGAGCTGTTTTTGGATTTCAAGTATTGTTTTGGTGAAATGATGAAATGAAACAGTTTTCAAGGATGTATTTTCCGTACAAAATTTCAACCTTGGACACAGTAAGAATGGAATTCCCGAGTAGTTCACCTGAACATACTTTCAACTAAGTACCAGCAAGGCACTTTGGCCTTGTTACGGAAAGCGAACTTGAACCTGTGATTAAGGTTTCCCCTTATATTCAGCCTAGTGGTTAAAGCATTTGCTCATCACGCCGAAGACCCGGGTTCAATTCCCGACATGGTTGCAATGTGTGAAGCCCATTTCTGGTGTCCCCCCGCCATGATATTGCTGGAATATTGCTAAAAGCGGTGTAAAACCAAACTCACTCACTCCACTAGTGCAGAGACCCTATTAGTCTGGAGACTCTTGGCCTCACAGCCCTGCCCCAAAATGAAGACTTGAGAACATCTTGCACTGGAAATGGTGCCATACTTTGATATAATTTTGCTATTAAATAGGAGCCTGGTCAGAAAATATGATGTGATTTAATTATCATATAAAACTTGATTGTCATGAAATACATTATTTATTTCCTTTCTGATGTCGGCATTGTATTTTGGGAATAATATTTGGAAAATAGAACAGTTGAAAGGAAAGATGGAAGAATGTTTGGCATTATTTGGTTGGTCTGCTTATCATGTGATGATTATCATGCTGGTGACTTGTCCCATGACTTGACCGCAGTAGTCATGTCATTGAACTGTGTACATAGGACTTTATTTCATACTTGAAGTATGTATTTTTGATCATTCCTGTAATTGTCCCTTTTATTGTACAAGAACGTCTTATATTGGTTCTCTAATTGTAAGTTCTCTACAAAATGGTGTTTCAAGGTTTTAAGTGAGATGGAAGGGTTATGCCCCTTTGACTGATAGTGGACCCTACAAACTCATAACTTCTCCGAAGATGTCGGTGTATAATTAGGCTTGCTTCTTTCCATATCTCTAATTAGAACCCTTGATCCCTTAGAACAACTCGCCTGTGATGATTGATGAATCAACATGAATAACTGCCATATTTACAATGATTCACGACTCTCAAATCACAGAATTGCCTTTGTTTTCCAAAAGCTCAAAATACCTGCATATTAGTACAGACTTCATTGAACATGTAACATGTGTGATTCAGAAATTAGAACTTGTATGAGAAATACAAATCATCTAGTCTGAGTGACTGTCTTCATGTTAGCAGATTTCACTGCCGAAATGTCACACTGCATTTAATTCACAAATCATCCATGCATAAAAAACAGTATTTAATGATATCACTTCTACAGATGTACAGACTTTAGTCTTCCAGGTTTAATGTGGAAATAGTTGGATGCTTGAATGTGTTACTTGGATTATCAGTGCAACTACAGGACTGAGTTAGAATAGGAGCAGATGCATTATGTCCTTGTCGATGCTTCATCATGTTCATGGCTTTGTATACATTACTGTCCATCACTCTTGAATACATGCACTGGTGGACGATTTGTCTGAGGCGCTGCAATTTGCGGTGCAGAGTTGTGTCCCTTGATAATTAAGGTCAAGGTTTCCCTGTTTTATTTGGGTGCATTGGTGGCCCAGTTGTCAAAGGCGCCGCAGTTTGCTCTGCAGAGTTCCACCCTTTCCATGCCAGAAAGATATGTTTGGGGGTTCGAATCCTGGTTCGCCCCGATTATGTTTCTAGGTTTGTCAGTGTCTTACCCGTGCTCGTGGGTTTCACCGAAGTTGAAAATGTCTGGCACCTGGATCATGTGGGGCTTTCCTCTGACGTTAAGCAGACATGCTATGATATATTTGGAATATTGTTCAAAGTGGCGTTAAAACCAACTCACTCACTCACTCATGAAAACATACAGCACTTGTGCGGTGTAGTCACTATTTCGAGTCGAGCCTTGGCCTGGTTCCAGCGAGAGAGGAACCAGAGAGTGACAGACCAGTGAGTGCTTCCGATTACAGCAGCAATAGTTCTCATGCAACATGAGCCATAGCCTTGCAGCCATCTACACATCGCTTCATTATCAGGCAACCGTACAATTTTCTTTCATGGAATAGGGCTCATTTATAATAATTATATGCTTTTGATATTGCGTATATTTCCACCCCATTCAGGGGCAGGCTCCAAGTCGTTATCATTAGCCCGGTCACTGGATCAATGTGCACTCAAGAATCATTTTCAGCTCCCTGGGGAGTATACAACCCAAGCTGCCTGTTAGGCGCAAGAAGGTTAACTACCACATTGCAATCTCATCTTACTGGTACCCATTCACTGCTGAGTGAACAGAGGCACATTTCAAACAAAGTTGCCCACGGAAACACCACACGTGCTACAGTTGCTTCAGCATGGGGCCGGACCGAAGCCCTAGAAACTCAAGCAGCCGAAATACGATCACCCATCCAAGTTCTCTTCGTGACCGACGTTGCTTAACTTCACTTCTGTGAGTTAACGCAGTCTTTTTCAATACCTGCCTAAAAATGGACATGAGTCACTATTACATTGTTTAGCAGGTGTTTGTATTCATGGTTGATGGGAGAAAGTGCTGTATACAAACCTGTGAAGTGTTGCTGGCGTTATATTGGCATGTTGACGAAAAACAGATCATAAGGGTTGTCGTGGAAGTTAGCAAGTGTCTTGTGTTTAAAAACTACAACATTGAATTAAAATAAGACATTGTTTGGAATATTTGTCAAAAACTTAAAGCAACAAGAAACAATGTTTGATTTTCTGGTTACTCTAGGAAATACTCTAAGTATCAAACTAGTTATGTCTACCCTATTTATATGTTTTTAAGGGTATGTAGTGTATTGGTAGCGACCATTTCAGTATGGAGAGATCGTGATTTATGTACATCTATCACTTTTCGTAATAGTTAAAATTGGAACTTAGGCAAGAAGGGATATGACGGATAAAACCAGATTGTTGTAGATCTATGATTAATTAATGATCTTAAGTTTGTTACCAAAGTTGACTTTTTTAATACCGGAAAACATGGAAAATGTATGTTTTGTTGTTCGTGATGATGAACACATGCAACACACTCAGATATGTATTTCTGTGCATTTATGTGACTCTTTCTTGGAGTTTATCAGTGTATATATTATTTACATACACAAGGCCACACTTTTATATCATTTCTTTATAGGTTTATGGAGTTTTTTGCAAAATATGTCTTGGGTGTTTTGAAATTAATTATTACAATGTTTTGGCTTTTTAATTTTTTTCTTTTTCTTTTTTTACATGACATTTTACATGTATAGGAAGGTTGGTTAAATTTGGAGAAAATGTTGCTAAATCTAAATGTAGAGTTACTATACAGTACTATATATGCACAGTAGCGAGAAGACTCTTATGTCCATATTGATGTGTGGTAGGCTAGTGGTTAAAGCGTTTGATCATCATACCAAAGGCCTGTCAGTTTCCCACATGTGTACTATGTGTGAAGCTCATTTCTTGTGTCACTCACCGTGATGTTGCTGGAATGTTGCTAAAAGCGGTGTAATTCCAAACTCACTGTATTTGACGTTTGCAGTGACCAGCAACTATGCTATGCTTTTGATAAATTAATATTTAGAATTTATAATTATTAGTTTCTGTTACATTTTGAAGTTGTTTATTTTATTTTACTCTTTTGTAAATAGTGTAGGCAATCAAATTTGAATTGCATCCGTTTATTTTTTGTCTTTTGGATGCATTTTGTCTATCCTTAAACAGAGAAATATAAAAAGTGTGGCCCTTCTTTGTTCAATGTATGGTGCAGTGACCGTCAATAGTGCTTTGTAGATAGTTTAGTGAGGGTCAGATGTGGTGCAGTTGGATGGAGACTTTTCTAACAGAGTTATCTCCCTCTAACATATCACCTGCCCTGTGTATCAGTGCTGACCACAATGTTTCATTGAAGCTGTGATGGTGTCACCTGTTTGCTCTCTGCCAACAATGTATTCTAAGAATCTCATGATGTTGTTGCAGCCTTCAATATTAGTCAGTTTATAGGGAATAAATTATTATCTAGTTTGTTGAATCAGTTATAAAAAGAGACAATGATATTTTATTCATTTGCTCATGTAAATTGATAGAACTGAAAATTGAAATAATTTTTAGCTCTTATAGAGGAGCCAATTACATATTTACTTATCTAAAATGAAATTGATTTTGCATGAAAGTCTTAATTTTAGTTCATCGCAGCCGCAGGCTAGGGCTGTGGTAAGGTGCTCAAACATCAAACCACAAGCCCCAGGTGCTCTGGGTTCTCTTTGCTAAATCAAAGTGATTATGAATGTTTAATCACCATGGTGAAGTGTTGAAGGTCTTACTATGTCTCACTGCCTCAATAGTCCAGCTGTGGTGTCGGTGTACACTACACACATACATGTAGGGTTTTACCTTCACTTACAAAGGCTGGGGTCCAGGGTACCCACAATCTAGGGCTGGGACGAGTCCAAATTTACTACTGGGTACCCACACCCCTATTACCTGACCCTACCCGGGTACCCGCTGTTGGTTTCAAAATATAGGTACAAAATGTCCGATTGGGAATTGTTTGACAGTAGTATGTAGATGTATGTATTGAGATACACGTATAGAACGATCTGGTCATGCATATACACTGAAGTTGAATGAAGTTTTATCTTTATTCAAACACATATAAGTCACAAGGAATGCGATCATAGTCATGAAGAAATGCGAACATGAGTGATTTGTGTAACCATGTAGTAAAAGTGAACTTTTGTCATGAAACAATATATCACGTGACTAACCACAGGTCCGGGTAGTGCTTTGGGTACCCGGGTCCTGCTCAGTGCCCACCCGGCCCGAGTACCGAGTTACCCGTCCCAGCCCTACCACAGTCAATAATATTTAACAGTCCTTGCAGGCAATATGAGGGTCCTGTAAAGTAATGAAATGGTGTAGTGTACTGTGCGTTTTGATAACTACTTTAGAGCCTGGAATGAATCAATGATCACATGGACACTGGTATGTGTGATGGATGAAAAACAAGACACCCATAACTGCTCTTGATGTGCTGTAGGTACAATGAATGTTATTGTGCATCCCTTGGAATGCAGTATAACCTTTTTCAACGTCCAATTTCAACATATGGACGTATTGGACACACATTTGTGTGTGGGGTAAAGCCCTGCCAGCTATGTCATGTACTGCCTTTAACTGCAAGACTACAGTGTTCCTACTCTCAGTGTAGATGTTGTGATTAGTGTGTGAAACTGACACACTGCATCCATGTAATTATGGCTTTGATTTTCTGATATACATCATAGGATTTTATTTAGCTGACTAAAAGGGTAATAATTTGATTGAATCAAACTTGCTAGACCTCAGATCATAATGACAAGTTCCTCTGTGAAATTTGAACATGAAAGTCGAAGTGACTTAATACTGCCATTTGCAACATGTTAAAAATGTCTGATGTCTTGATAGTAGGATGTTGTTTTCGAAAACATATTCTCAAATACCAAGAGCTAACACATCAAAACACATTTTAGCACATGCACAATCTGGACCCATTTTCTTGTTTGTGCAGTGGAAACTGAAATGTCGATTAAGACGTTTTCTCTGGATAGAAAAGTCTATATTCATTCTGTGAACAATGGCTTTTTGTCCATGGAATATGATGATATGCATTAAACCCATATATTTATTTTTGAATCTGGCCTTTCTGGGGTTACAATGTTTTGATATGACAGGAATAGTCAGGACATCTGGAGCTATGTCTATGTGTGTAGAATGTTTAATTTTGGTGCTTTGTGTTGTATGCTGAGTTAGCAACATGCAAATAAAGTGTACTCATCATCAACATGTTGTCTTGTCTTCTGGAGCAGACGCCTGGGATAGGTGGCGGGTCTCCGGAAGTCACCAACTTGGTCCACTGCCTGTCACAAGAGATGATGAAATTAAGACAGACAGACTGCTAGACATACATACATACATACATACATACATACATACATACATACATACATACATACATACATACATACATACATACATACATACATACATACATACATACACACACACACACACACACACACACATACATACATACATACATACATACATACATGTCCAGACTCGACATGTTCGATTATGTACATACAGATTGCCATCATATAGCTTGAATATTGCTGAGTGCAGCGCGAAACAACAAACGACAACAACATACATACATAGAAAATCATACATACATACATACATAAAAAATCATACATACATACATACATAAAGGCGACCATGCTTGTCGTAAGAGGCGACTAACGGGATTGGGTGGTCAGGCTCGCTGACTTGTTTGATGCATGTCTTCGATCCCAATTGCGTGGATCGTTGCTCACGATGTTAATCACTGAATTGTCTGGTCCAGACTCGATTATTTACATACAGACTGCCGCTTGAATAACACATCGAATGAGATTCGAACCCGTACGAAAATTCCAGCCTGGTTTCCTGGGTAATCATTTACTTTATATAAAAAGCGCACGCACACGCACACATAAGTTATGACACATTTCATATGTTACAGGAAGGTCATAGCGGCTTACTTTAACAGTTTGACATACAATATGCATACCGTCAGATAAAGTATCTAGTCCACATGCCTGGACACATTCTGCTGCAAACCTCCCAAGAAGGAAGCACTGAAATATATCATGGACTGGACTGCTGAAACTATGCTGGTGTCATTACATGTTAATAATGGTAATGAGGTGAGGTGGGGTGAAATGGGGTTTAACGTCGCGTCCAAGATTATTGCACTTATATAGCGACGTGCAGTAAACTGACTCCGAGCCGACCAGTCCTTGTTTTAGTACGTTAATGCCGAGCGCCAGACAGGGTAACAACAAGTACCATCATTTAACGTCTTTTGGTATGACGCGGTCGGTGATCGAACCCTGGACCTTCCGCTCTGCGGGCGGACGCTCTACCACTAGACCAAAGAGGCGGTTATTAATAGTAATGGTATTTCTGTGTCAAGTGAGTATTCTAAGGCAAAGGTGACTATTGTGTATATATCAGTTACCTATGCTAACCACAGGAACTCGTTGGTAGCGTGTTTAGCATAATATATTCCTATAGAAAAAAATCACACCCCTCATTATACATATACCCTATCATCGAGTTCCTGTGATGCTAACATTCCCAAAGGTGAGAATATTGTCCAAAACATTGGGAATTAAAGTCATGGACCCCTTTTGTCACAATAATAAGTAGGTAGAATTGTACATGGAAATAGCATTCTCTGCTTGCTGGGGGTTATTTAACCCAAGATGCCAGTTAGGCGCCCTGAAGGTTTTACATCCACATTATCTACCGGGTACCCATTCGCGAGCAAAGGTGAGCAAATTTTGAAAAAATCACTTGCCAAGCAGACACCAGATGTGTTTATGTGTTGGATAGGACCGAAGCCCTAGCAACCCCAGGAATTATGCTGTGCCTATCGCTGTCATCCATCAACCTACTCTCCGCCGACAGCGTTGCTTGTTTTGTGACCTGTGGCTTTTCGCAGAACACCATAAGCCATAAGTCATACACAGACCGCCTCCGTGGTCTAGTGGTAGAGCGTCCGCCCTGAGAGCGGAAGGTCGATCCCCTGCCGCGTCATACCAAAAGACGTTAAAAGATGGTACTTGTTGTTACCCTGTCTGGCGCTTGGCATTAAGGGGCTAAAACAAGGACTGGTCGGCTCGGAGTCAGTATACTGTGTCTGAGTCGGGTATTCATGTTAAACTGCGGCATGGTATCTCAGTGTGCTAGCACTATAAATCGTCATCAGTCCGGACTAGTACAAGCAGCCACACACACACGCACACGTGCATGCATATAAGTGCAATAATCTTGGACGCGACGTTAAACCCCATATTACCTCTTCTCAGGCAGTCGGTTAGAACATCGGCTAGAACATCAAGCAGGCAAACACGTGATGAAGCCCCCCAATCACAGCCATCGCTGTCTACAGTGGACTGATGTGGTATGAGATTATTTATCTTTTATAGCTCTTGTCACTGTGGTCCATAGAACGCTTTTGATGGTTAACACTTGTGTTTCATCGTAGCGCACAGGGCAGTGCTGGGAATGAGAATGGAATAAGACTGCTGTTGTAAGACTGGGTTTGAAACCCAGAATCACCCAAATCATGATCCTTGCTTTGTCAGCACACACGAAGATGACGGTTAGAATAGGTATTCAGTATCCCATGCTTGAAATAATGTTTGTCGTAAGAGGCGGCAAACGAGATCGGGTGGCCAGGCTCGTTGACTTGGTTTATGTGTCATCGTATCCCAATTGCGTGGGTCGATGCCCGTCACTGGATTGTCAGGTCCAGACTCGACTATCTACAGACCGCCGTCTAGACTAACATCTAGTCTCTGAAATGAACATATCGTACAGAAAAATACAGTTGTTCAGTTATCTTAATAAAAATATAACAAAGGAGCCCAGTGACTCTCTTCATTTTCAGATACTGCAGTGATCTAGACTTGCCAAACATTATAGACTTGCATGGGCTGTATTTGATATATATTTATATCAGGATCTGTAAGACAGAATAGTGCAGCGTTAAACACAAATAAGCTTACGAACTGCATCACTCCGACGTGACAGACTGCGGCGTAAACAACCGTCATTCACTCCTCCCCATACACAGACGCGTAAACAACCAACCTCCCAGCTGCTCGGCTGTTTCTGAAGGTATGACATATTATCCCCAAACAAACACATCACGAATGGATATATAACCCCGATTCAGAGAAATATTTACATGAAAAGTTACGAGGTGAGGTTGGTTTAACGTCGCGTCCAAGATTATTCCGCTCATATAGCGACGTGCATGCAAATGTGTATGGCTGCTTGAAGACCCGGGTTCGTTTCCCGACATGGGTACAATGTATGAAGCCCATTTCTGGTGTCCCCCGCCGTGATATTGCTGGTATATTGCTCAAAGCGGCGTAAAACCATACTCACTCACTCACTCATTCATTCATTCACTCACTCACTCACTCAATAACTGACGAATGAATTTCACTAATAACTGATCAAGAAATACAGACATGCATGTCGACATATTTGATGGAAACTAGTATCAAACACGATAAGAGGCGAACAAAAGATTAATCGGTATCGATCAAGATTAACCCGGTTGAATATATATGAACATGGTGGCCCTATCATTTATTTGATATTGTCAGATAGATAACAATACTCAACGGCTTCACATGCGCAATAGTTTCACCTTGACCACGACTGACCAGCGATCATAACATGCCTGTGTCCACTTGGACACGTGCTTCTGTCCGCGTGGACCAAGTGTTGGATCTGTTCAGGGTTGACCACTGACCGGTCACCCTAAGAAACGTATTGGCCTAAGCAAATATTCGTGAAGGAGATTTTTTAAGTGACGGGATATTTGAAGATTACACTGGATCATTTCTTGTAGGGGGACCTGACAACACATATCTGTTGTGAGAGTCGGTAGGCAAGGCCGACTCTAAACGTGCATGTGCATTTTGTAACCGTCCTGTTGATTATTCTTGTTGCATTCTTCCGGTTTCCAGTAGTTGTTAAATATATCAAGTTTCTGACAACCTTCTCGGATACGCTTTCATTGGAAAATCCTCTTTCTACTTCACAATCACTCAAACGGGGAGAATGTATGTCTGTGATTCAAGGATGTAAGCGGAATAGTGGAGAACATTCAAGGATATATGAGAATGCTGAAGTAAATTCAAGGATATATGAGGAATGCTGAAGTAAATTCAAGGTTATATGAGGAATGCTGAAGTAAATTCAAGGATATATGAGGAATGCTGAAGTAAATTCAAGGATATATGAGGAAGATGGGAAGAGTTTCAAGGAGACTGAGGAATGTAGGAGACAAATTAGGATATACTAGTATGAGGAATATAGGAAGGGACTCAAAGTGTTCCAGAACAGAAATGAGTTGCTTTACATTCGGGCTAACCATAGATATTGAACACCTTCAAACTAAAGGGCGATGTGTTTAAGACTTTGATCGAGGAGTAGTTGGTGGCAAGACTTGATTGAACCAATGTCATTTCAGTCCCGGAGAGACACATCTGGCGTTCCTTGCTTCAGGAAGATGAACAAACCTAGGGATAATGTTCTCATCATCCATCGGGCGGTGGGGAGGGCCAGGGACAAAAGAAGCATGTCGGCTGCCGAAGCGGCCATCTTGGAACAGATGATTCCACTCAAACCTCGGCTCACTGGGCGAAGGAAATCAGTTCCACCTGAGGTTCGTATTGTTGGTCATGTGTAGATGTTTTCAAAGAGCTGCTATGTGCTATCTATGAAGTAAACTTATGCTTTAATTTACAGACTGTCAGGCCTACGCAGCATGGCAAACACGAGAGTAGGGAACGATGGCGACCTACCCTTGAACCTGTCAAGGTAAGGATAGCACTGGGGCAGCTACTGTTGCCATCATTGCTACATTTCTGTCACGGATATGTCCTGGTGATTTTGTTCTTTGGACGGAGGGTTTACATGTCAACAGTTCAGGAAATTAGGAAAACAGTATTGGAGTAATAATGGCAAATAAAATCAGACATTAATTGAGATCAGAGAACTATGCCATGTCTCCGATCACGGTAAGTGGTGACATAACATATAATAAAACATCCCAGGTAACACATTCACACCTCGAACTACAGGCGCACATGACACATTTTACACTTGGTAATCAGACCAAAAGGCTACAGAACATCTTCATTATACCAACAGGCTACATGACGATGACATTTAATAGACAGACCAAAGGACGATGACTTTAGACATCATACACAAGACTGACATACAACAGAATGCAGGACACTGACGTTAGACCAGCAGGCTACTTGACGATGACATTTAATAGACAGACCAAAGGACGATGACATTAGACAACATACAAAACACTGACATACAACAGAAAGCAGAACACTGACGTTAGACCAACATGCTACTTGACGATGACATTTAATAGACAGACCAAAGGACGATGACATTAGACAACATACAAAACACTGAAATACAACAGAATGCAAGACACTGACGTTAGACCAGCAGGCTACTTGACGATGACATTTAATAGACAGACCAAAGGACGATGACATTAGACAACATACAAAACACTGACATACAACAGAATGCAAGACACTGACGTTAGACCAGCAGGCTACTTGACGATGACATTTAATAGACAGACCAAAGGACGAGGACATTAGACAGCATACAAAACTGTGACATACAATTGAATACAGGACACTGACGTTAGACCAACAGACTACCTGATGATGACATTTAATAGACGGACCAAAGGACGATGACATTAGACAACATACAAAACACTGACATACAACAGAATGCAAGATACTGACGTTAGACCAGCAGGCTACTTGACGATGACATTTAACAGACAGACCAAAGGACGATGCCATTAGACAAGCATACAAAACAATGACAAACAACAGAATGCAGAACACTGACGTTAGACCAACATGCTACTTGACGATGACATTTAATAGACAGACCAAAGGACGAGGACATTAGACAGCATACAAAACACTGACATACAACAGAATGCAGAACACTGACGTTAGACCAGCAGGCTACTTGACGATGACATTTAATAGACAGACCAAAGGACGAGGACATTAGACAGCATACAAAACTGTGACATACAACAGACTACAGGACACTGACGTTAGACAAACAGACTACCTGACGATGACATTTAATAGACAGACCAAAGGGCGATGACATTAGACAGCTTACAAAACTGTGACATACAATTGAATACAGGACACTGACGTTAGACTAACAGACTACCTGACGATGACCTTTTATAGACAGACCAAAGGACGAGGGCATTAGACAGCATACAAAACTGTGACATACAATTGAATACAGGACACTGACGTTAGACCAGCAGGCTACTTGACGATGACATTTAACAGACAGACCAAAGGACGATGCCATTAGACAAGCATACAAAACAATGACAAACAACAGAATGCAGAACACTGACGTTAGACCAACATGCTACTTGACGATGACATTTAATAGACAGACCAAAGGACGAGGACATTAGACAGCATACAAAACACTGACATACAACAGAATGCAGAACACTGACGTTAAACCAGCAGGCTACTTGACGATGACATTTAATAGACAGACCAAAGGACGAGGACATTAGACAGCATACAAAACTGTGACATACAACAGACTACAGGACACTGACGTTAGACAAACAGACTACCTGACGATGACATTTAATAGACAGACCAAAGGGCGATGACATTAGACAGCATACAAAACTGTGACATACAATTGAATACAGGACACTGACGTTAGACTAACAGACTACCTGACGATGACCTTTTATAGACAGACCAAAGGACGAGGGCATTAGACAGCATACAAAACTGTGACATACAATTGAATACAGGACACTGACGTTAGACTAACAGACTACCTGACGATGACATTTAATAGACAGACCAAAGGACGATGACATTAGACAACATACAAAACACTGACATACAACAGAATGCAAGACACTGACGTTAGACCAGCAGGCTACTTGACGATGACATTTAATAGACAGACCAAAGGACGATGACATTAGACAGCATACAAAACTGTGACATACAACAGACTACAGGACACTGACGTTAGACAAACAGACTACCTGACGATGACATTTAATAGACAGACCAAAGGGCGATGACATTAGACAGCATACAAAACTGTGACATACAATTGAATACAGGACACTGACGTTAGACTAACAGACTACCTGACGATGACCTTTTATAGACAGACCAAAGGACGAGGGCATTAGACAGCATACAAAACTGTGACATACAATTGAATACAGGACACTGACGTTAGACCAGCAGGCTACTTGACGATGACATTTAACAGACAGACCAAAGGACGATGCCATTAGACAAGCATACAAAACAATGACAAACAACAGAATGCAGAACACTGACGTTAGACCAACATGCTACTTGACGATGACATTTAATAGACAGACCAAAGGACGAGGACATTAGACAGCATACAAAACACTGACATACAACAGAATGCAGAACACTGACGTTAAACCAGCAGGCTACTTGACGATGACATTTAATAGACAGACCAAAGGACGAGGACATTAGACAGCATACAAAACTGTGACATACAACAGACTACAGGACACTGACGTTAGACAAACAGACTACCTGACGATGACATTTAATAGACAGACCAAAGGGCGATGACATTAGACAGCATACAAAACTGTGACATACAATTGAATACAGGACACTGACGTTAGACTAACAGACTACCTGACGATGACCTTTTATAGACAGACCAAAGGACGAGGGCATTAGACAGCATACAAAACTGTGACATACAATTGAATACAGGACACTGACGTTAGACTAACAGACTACCTGACGATGACATTTAATAGACAGACCAAAGGACGATGACATTAGACAACATACAAAACACTGACATACAACAGAATGCAAGACACTGACGTTAGACCAGCAGGCTACTTGACGATGACATTTAATAGACAGACCAAAGGACGATGACATTAGACAGCATACAAAACAATGACATACAACAGAATGCAGAACACTGACGTTAGACCAACATGCTACTTGACGATGACAGCTACTTGACGATGACATTTAATAGACAGACCAAAGGACGAGGACATTAGACAGCATACAAAACACTGACATACAACAGACTACAGGACACTGACGTTAGACCAACATACTACAGGACGCTGACATTACACAGAGTGTAGAACACTGACATAAGACCAACAAATAACCTGGCCGGCATACATTATATGTGCACCAGGTTAAACAGTATCATAACATTAGGCCCCGAGATTTCAAGCTATCTACTTATTTAGTGTATTGTATCCGGTAGTCAGTGAGTTACAATTTAAGGTCGTGTCGGCGTTATTTCAACCATTTAGCGACGAGAACAAGTTTATAATATCTGCAAGCATCATATAAATACATCAAAGTTAAAAGTACATTTGTTAAACATATCGTATCCTCTAGTAGAAAACGGCACCGACTACAACACTTGGTGTTGACCTACTCTGATCGGCTCAGTAATATTGACCACAGCATTGACCATCATATTCTTGCAGCCCGCCACACAACTCAGTCCAGTGTTCACGCATCACCTCGCCAGCCGGAATGTAGTGCCCCCTTTAATGCAAATAAACCCCATTAATAACGCGCTTATAGTCTCGTCAACAGGAGGAATAGATTGAAAATGATCACACTGTTGTTATTGAATACCGACAAGTCAACCGAGAATCATTACCCCGAACCAACCTCTACAGGCATCCACTGTTTAATATACTGTATATTATATACTGAAATTATAGAACATCCAAGTGCAATGCTTGGTATAATGGGCTGGTTGTTCATTCTATGACTGAGATCCGATATATTCATTATAGTTAGCTCTTCTCGGTGTAAGGCAGGGTGATCGCCTTTGTCCTGTACTTTTGTACTGTATTGTATCGTGATCTGAAGGCTGCAAATCCTATACACCATCAGGATTATTGACTATTATATTACCAACATAGATAATGTGATAAGGGCTTGTTGCACTTTATTGATACACGAAATGATGGGAAATTGGCGCTATATTCCACTTGACTGTTTTTCTTGACTTTTTTTTTCAAATAATGTCCTAACGCCAATTATTAGCAATATCGATTAGGCTTATGCGGGACTAGGTTTGGGGTGGTTTATAAACTCAGTGAGGGTAAAATGGTTTCTTGGTGCTGATAGCCCAAGCCATAAGCAACTAAACAGCAATTTGTATGCAGATATTGTGATCGACGCCTCGTAAAAGACATTGATTAATGGCAGTACAAAACGTTCGGTCTTGGTTTGATTATCAGACAAGGTACAGACATTGAACAGATGAGCTGGAACCTCTGATTCTAGAAGATCTTTCATCAGGAGAGGTGCTGAGAATTCATGTGTGTTTGGATTATTTACAAGAAACCTTAGGAATCGAGGAACTTAAGCATCGACGAACGTTCACGGTGTCGTGCATTAACTTTCTGCTCAAATTTTGGAATTACATTAATCGTATTGTTTTCCGCATGGAAGATATATCTCTGGTTTAAAAAACCAGTTGAGATTTCTTATGACTGTTTCTTATGACTGTGGCTCGGTCTTCTGACTCCATTTGAACCCTCGTGATTTCAAATTCTGACTTGTTGGATTTGACAATATATATCTAGATACACAGGAAGTTATAGATTTATCTATGTCAGAACCGTCACGTTCATAATGAATAATGAAGAATAAACTTTTTTACACCACGGTCAATACAAACGACTGCACTCGCCGTAAAATATA